TGACTTTGAAAAATAAATCTGTTCTTTTTTCTTATAAAAGGTTAAATAAAACAAAAATATTGGTGGTAATTTTTGACTGTGTAACTTTACAAACAGTACCCCATAAACATCCTTAGAAGAGACTTTAATTTTTACCAAAGTAATTTAATGGTAAAATACTTAAACTATTACTCTGAGGTACTTTATTCAACACTGATTCCTTCTTAGAATGAGATAATTTTCGTTCCAGACTCTGACATGAAAGGCGGTGGGTGATATACATTCCTCCAAGAATAACTAGACATTTAATTGCAACATGTTTTTGTTTTGTGTGACATCATCCTGTAGGGCAGAGAGCCAGCCCAGCAGCACTCCTTTTCTTGGCTCCGACGCGCAGCAGGACGGCTGATTACAGCTCACTTTTGCCAAAGCTCTGATACAAGCCAGCCCACTGCTCACAAGTCAGCGACGTTAATTGCCCTTCATGTATTTACGCTCGCATATTCTTGTGTTTTATGGGAGCCTGAGGATGGATGTGCGTTTTCCTCTCTGCGATACACTCGATCTGCATAACTGGGTATAAACTATCGTCAAATTAAGTTGTAATCTCTCAGCATCTGCACACACACTTTAGAAATATAGCAATAAAAYGTATGGAAGGCGCATCGCCATGACTTTGTCTTGCTGTCATGCAGCTGCACTGCCGCTGTTTAACACATGAGGGCAGTGYGTCCACACTCGAAGCGCCAGATAAGTGTCGGCTGTGTGTGAAAGGYATGAGCTGCAAAAACATTTAAAAGTAAAATAAGAAAATAAAGTAAAACAGACAATCAAACAAAGCCATTCAAAGCTGAAATAGCAACTACTTCCTGTTTATTAAACTGCTTTGTCATGAAATATGGCTGAGCAACATCCTCTTAAATGCACTGTTGGACCTGATTCTCATATTTGGATCAGATTACAGATTAGATCGGCTGCGATTAAAGCCTCAGTGGGAATACGTCGCCACGTTTAATCTAAACCAGGGGTGTCAAWCTCATTTTCTCTGAGGGTCACATGAAATTTATGGTGGCCCTCGAAGGGCCACTTGTAATGAACTTTGATGTTTCATGTTTAAATTTGACTAAACAGAGTTTTAACACGTCCTCTTTTAAACACTGATAAGAACTAAGTGTGTGACTGACTAAATCTGTAATAAATACAGAAATATTATTAAAAAGTAAAACAAAAAGGTTTTACTCACTGATGAGTTTCTAGTAAGTAGCTGCATGATGGCAGATTTAGTTTATGTTTGATGGTGATTTTAAAGCAGTTATTTTCAGACATTAGTACTGTGCTATCAACTAAATTGCTCAGTTACTTTTAGCCAACAGCTCAGGGACTGGATACTTTTTTATTTGGTACTGGTAAATGG